CTCGTCACCAAGTAGCTCTCCACCAGGGAGCTCGTCACCAAGTAGCTCACCACCAGGGAGCTCGTCACCAGGTAGCTCACCGCCAGGGAGCTCGTCACCAAGTAGCTCACCACCAGGGAGCTCGTCACCAAGTAGCTCTCCACCAAGGAGCTCGTCACCAGGTAGCTCTCCACCAGGGAGCTTGTCACCAAGTAGCTCACCACCAGGGAGTTTAAGGCACCCACCTAGTCAGCTCTTTACCTTACAGGTAGCTCGACACCTGGTCAGCTCGGCACCTCACTAGTAGCTCGGCACCTGGTTAGCTCGGCACCTTGCAGGCAGCTCAGCACTTGGTCAGCTCGGCACCTCACTGGTCGCTCAGCGCTTGGTCAGTTCGGCACCTCACTGGCAAAGCCTACGGGCCACATTACTGCTTAAGACCTAGTAGCCTCTTCGGCATGGGCAAAGTCAAAAAAGAGTGGACTACGAGTCACTCCCAAAAGCCTACGAGCCACATTAATACTTAAGACCCAGTCGCCTCTTCGGCACGGGCAAAGTCAAAAAAGAGTGGACTGCGAGTCACTCCCAAAAGCCTACGGGCCACATTACTACTTAAGACCCAGTCGCCTCTTCGGCATGGGCAAAGTCAAAGAAGAGTGGACTACGAGTCGCTCCCAAAGCCTGCGGGCCACATTACTGCTTAAGACCCAGTCGCCTCTTCGGCATGGGCAAAGTCAAAGAAGAGTGGACTAAGAGTCACTCCCAAAAGCCTACGGGCCACATTACTACTTAAGACTCAGTCGCTCTTCGGCACGGGCAAAGTCAAAGAAAAGTGGACTACGAGTTGCTCCCAAAGCCTACGGGCCACATTACTGCTTAAGACCCAGTCGCCTCTTCGACATGGGCAAAGTCAAAAACTGTGGACTACGAGTCGCTTCCAAAGCCTACGGGCCACACTATTGCTAAACACCCAGTCACTTCCTCAGCATGAGCAAAATCAGCAAAAGTGAACTATAAGTTGCCTCCAGAGCCTAAGGGCTACACTATTGAACTAGCGGAGACCTCCTCACCTTACAGACAACTCGCTATTGGCAGGCAGCTCCCAAAGCCTAAGGAATTGGATCAGCACTTACTAGCTCGTCGACTTACGAGCCAAAAGAAAAAATCTACTCCCTTCGCTGAGTTACTCTCAACTCGGGAGTGGGGGGCAAATGATGAGGGTGGATTTGGCCCTTCAGTGAAATTGTGACACCTGGCACCTCATGCAAACCAAGTGCAGCCTCTTGACGACTAGGCAGCTCGCGCAGCTCGGCATAGGCAGCTCGGTACAACTCGGGCAGCTCGGCATAGGCAGCTCGGTA